TATATATATATATATATATATATATATGTATATATATTATAACGCAATAGACAGGAAACAATAAACCCTAGATGTAAATATACACACAATAAACCCTAAACCCTAAACCCTAAACCCTTAATTCCTACGAGCAAAAATAACAAAAAACCGACCAATAAACCCTAAACCCTAATAAACCCTAGACCCTAATAAACCCTAAACCCTAATAAACCCTAAACCCTAAACCCTAGACATAAAGTGTATGGTATTTACAGTGAGTCCCGGGGAGAAGAGATAAGAAACGCGTATAAGTTTATCTTCTGCTGTTGTGTTTTTTTCGTGTGTTGTTCTGCTTGTTCTTCTCGGCATCATAAGCATATCCGATAGAACTGAACTTCTGTTGCTGTTTCTTTCTCCTGTCTCTTCTTGAGGGTTTACTCCTTCTTCTCCTGCTTGAGAGCCTCGACGACTACGAGGAAGTAATAAAAGCTGTGGGGTTGTTTGCTGCTGCTGCTGCTGCTGCTGCTGTTGTTGCTGCTGCACCTGCTGTTGTTTTAACCCTTCTGCTGCTCGTTTTGCTGCTGCTGCTACTGCTGCTGCTGCTGCTGCTGGGCCTGTTGCTGCAGCTCCCGCAGCAGCAGCAGCGGGAGAGGTTCCCTCGGGTGTATGGACATCTCCAGAACCTGCTGCAGCAGCAGCAGCAGCAGCAGCTGCTGCTGCTGCTGCTGCTGCTGTTGGTGTTATTTTATCTTCTTGTGCGGCTCCATCAGGCACCGTATGCGTATGTATATGTGTTTTACTTTTTATGGTGTGTAGTTGATGGTGAGTATGGCTGCTGTTGGTTCTATTTGTATGATGGTTGCTGCTGCTGCTGCTTCTGTTGCTGCTTCTTAGCTCTCCCTGCTGCTGCTGTCTATTGATAGTTACATCAGGTGAAGAAGAGGAGACAGTAAGAGGAAGTGTCTCCTTTCTCCTAAACCAATCTTTAGGTAATGCATTTTTATCGTTTACTAGGGCTTGTATAATATCTATATGTTCTATATTATCTAAGGGGCCAAAGTTCACAGCATATAGGTTTGTGGTTGTGCATAGTATAGATAAACACTGCTGCAGCAGAGCTTTACTCTCCTGTAGTTGTATTCTTAATTCAGGTTTTATATAATCACCAGAAGAAGAAGAAGATAAAGATAAAGTATTCAACTCCTGCATCTGCTGCACCAACTGCACTAAATACTCAACAGATGTTGACGCACCACCACGGCAACGCTGCCGCTTCAGGTCCGACTCTAAACGCTCCACACGGCGACGCGTATCCTACACACATACACACACATGTAAACCCTAAACCCTAAACCCTAAACCCTAAACTCTGAACCCTTATCCACACTCGGAAACCCTGTACACGATTTCACCATCGTAAACCCTAAACACGATTTCACTCTCGGAAACCCTAAACCCTAAACCACACTCGGAAACGCTAAACCCTCAACCACACTCGGAAACCCTAAACCCTCAACCACACTCGGAAACCCTAAACACGATTCAACACTCATAAAACCTAAACCCTAAACATGATAATCCACACGATGACGCGTACCCTATGCGCACAAGGAAACCCTAAACCCTAAACCCTCAACCACACTCGTAAACCCTAAGCCCTAAACACGCATAAAACCTAAACATGATTCAACACTCGTAAACCCGAAACCCTAAACACGATTCAACACTCATTAACACTAAACCCTAAACCCGATTCAACACTCATAAACCCTAAACCCTAAACCCTAAAGCCTAAACCCTATTGAAGAAGCTGATGCATGTGTGCAGGGTCTTTCTATGGTTTGTTCTACAACTTAACTCATCCCGTATTAATTAAAAGCAAAAGGGTTTAGGGTTTAGGGTTTAGGTTACCAGCCACCCCAAGAAGGTTTGCCTGAGGTGTATCTCCGCTGCATAGCGACCGAGAAAAAGAAAAAACGCCAACACGAAATATGTAACAACTCGGATGACACTGCAACACAAAAAAAATAAATTAATTTAATTTAATTTAATTTAATTAAATTAAATTAATTGAGAAAATAAATGTATTAGGTGATATGATAAACAGGAAAATAAGAACATGCACCGGCGGTCAGTCGGTATATTCAACAGCAACAACTCCAGCAGTGAAGAAAAGAAAAAAAAAAGAAAAAAAATAAAAAGAAGAAGAATAAAACAAAAGAAATAAATATATTATAAAGAGGAAAAGAAAGGTAGATAAAATATACAAAAGGAAAGAAAACGCAAACAAAACAACAAATGCAAGAAAAGAGAAACAGAAAGAAATTGCCCCACCGCAACAAACAAACAAATTAAAACAGAAAAACAAAAATGAAAACAAGAGCGAAAATAAAGAAACAAAAAAAAATAGAAAGGAAACCACAAATAACATAAAACAACCAACAGCTACAAACAATAAAAGACAAGCAGAAACAACAACCCTTAACCCTAAACCCTAAACCCTCAACCGTAAACCCTAAGTAATCGAATAGATAATACAACAAAAAAACAAAAAATAAAGAGCACAGAACAACAAACAAGAAAACCAACAAACAACAAAAAGAAGAAATGATGAAGCGAGAAAATAATGATGGAGATGCAAGCCCCCACGAATCTAAACCCTAAACCCTAAACCTAAAACCCTAAAACCAAATAAAAAAAGATAAATAAAGAAACAAAAGCATAAATATAATGAATATAACATACACAAAAGAAGGAGCAATAAAACGAGGGTTTAATGCCCCCCTAACGACAATAGTAGCGGCGCTCGTCCCGAAGAAGGATATATGAATCAACCAAGAGTACTTTGTTCTGATAAAAAAAAGAAAAAAAAGAAAAAAAACAAACAAAAAACAAATAAATACAACAAATTATTACTATTTAGGGCTTCGTTGCTGCTTTTATTTGTCTCTGTTTGCTTTGTTTCATCGATTGTTCGTTTGTTTTTTGCTCGTTTGCTTTTTTTTAGGGTTTAGGATTCAGGCTTGTCACTAAAACCCTAAACCCTAAACCCTAGAAAGCAGCAGCAAGAGCTGCGCAGAGCCTCCCTAGAGCGTTCGATGTATTTCTCAACTAGGGTTCGGGGTTAACGAGGGTTTAGGGTTTAGGGTTTTCTACATTGCTAGGGTTTCGGTTTTTTTCGTGTTTCAGCTTGTTTAGGGTTTACGGTCTGTTTCAGAGTGTTTCAGCGTTAGGGTTTAGGGTTTAGGGTTTAGGGTTTAGGGTTTACCTGGAGGGTAGAACAACATCAATGATAACAACAGGAAGCAAACCATACAAATAGCTCATCGCTGTACACGCCTCAAGAGCTGTGCTTTCTTCTGTTGAACGAAATTCATCTTTGTCGTCTAGCTGTGCCTCCAGCCGGTAACTCGCAACACCGTTCCATACACCCCACATCGTCACCAACTGCACACACAAAACCCTAAACCCTAAACCCTAAACCCTAAACCCGAAACCCTAAACCCGAAAGCCTCAGGGGCAAAGGCTATATATATATATATATATATATATATATATATATATATATATATATATATATATATATATATATANTATATACATATATATATATATATATATATATGTATATATATATATAACCTAGACAAGGAAACATAAGTTATACAGCATGCGTAGTAAACAATAAATACTGAAACTTACACAACGAAAGCCTAACCCTAAAAACACTAAACCCTTAACCCTAAACCCTAAATGCCGAACACTTTATACTAAACCCTAAACCCTAAGATACCGATGACCCCGCACCCCATGTCTAAGCGAACTACGTGCAAACAAACCCTAAACCCTAAACCCTAAACCCTAAACCCTTGTTTTGACTTACAACGAATACGGCGATAGTGGTGAGATGTTCTGCATATGCATTGGCTTTGGGTATGCATGCAGCAGCAGCAAGAGCAGCAGAAGTGAGTATGGTGATACCCATAGCAACGTTAAACATAATCCCTATTGAGCTTCTATGATCGAAGGCACTCTGTTGATCGAAGCTCCACGCAAGCAGAGGCCACATAGCGAGAGTAAGCAGCAGCAGCAACACCCCCATAGGTAGCATACGTACACGCATCCAGTGGTTTACATTAAGAGAAAATAAATCCTCAAGTTCATTACTTGTAAAAGCAAGAGGAAAAGGTTTTAATAATTTTTCTGCTGAGCTACTACCCCTCATACTACTACTACGAGCAGCACCACTACTATTACTTAATGTGCTGCTGCGAGTAGTTATACGTGCATGCCTCTTCTGCTGCTGCTGCTGCTGCAGCAGCAAATCCTCTCTTGTATGAAAAGCAAGATCATTGCCAGGGCCTAGACGCCGACACCATCGGCATACGCGGCTGCAGCAGCAGCAGAAATAAGAAGAACCAAAACGACTACCAAAGGGTAAATATAAAGAAATGTTGCTGCTGCTGCTGTTGTAACTGTGCGGATATAGAGCCCAAGCACCCGATACAGCACTCACACTGCGGTGCTCTGTCTCATCATCTGTAAGGGGTTGGCCTGGTGATGAAACCCCCTCTAACCGTACACCAGAAAAAGCAGAATCTCCTGCTGCACTATCTCCCTCAGCAGCAGGACTACTCACACCGCCTCCTACGTTATCCAAGTTTGCAAAAGAAACAGTCTTTATACGCTGAAACTCTCGGCGGCGATCATCTTCCTTGCCGGCGCTGCTGCTGCTGCAAGGAACTGCTCCTCCTCCACCACCACCACCACCACCACCTCCTCCTCCTGTTGCTGTTGGTGGTGGTGATGCTCCTGCTGCTGCTCCCGCTGCTGCTGCTGCTGCTGCTGCTGCTGCCACGGCAGCAGATGAACCCGGCACAGGAGATGTTAAACTGTCAGACTTCCGCAGAATAGGAGATGAACTGGCAGGAGGAGTGCTGCTGCTCGGGGCGGATACACCGCAGGGGCGGCTGGTACTGTACCCCAGCAGAGCCGAGGAGGGAGACGCCGGTATCGACGTCCCCTCCCCCTGGCTGTCACGTGCCTCCATGTCGATAGCTGATGCTGGTGTTGTACATCAGAGATTCAACTCATTTAGCACCACAACATATGCAAAACCGAATGCTGCGGATTTTCAGACTTCTACGCCTCTTCAGGACCAAATGTTCGTCTTAATAATTTTGATTCCACACAGTCACAAATCGCTGCTCCCTCTGCTGCNCTGCTGCCGCGACTGTACCGAACCCAACAGATGCTTAAGAAGGCCTCGCAAGCAGGAGGAAGAGGAGTGTGAAGCGTTACGCGGAGGGAAGTTCATGGAGAGGCTACATTGGTGTTTTTTCCCACTGCTGTCCGGTGCGGAGTGAAGATCACGAAATTCAATTTTGAGGTTTTTAACGGAATATCTGAACCTAAATGGTTTCACAAGAACCACTTTCAATGAAAGATTATATTCATGAAAAGAAAGAACAGAAAAACAGTTCTCAAGTCGGCAGATCGGCGAAGATCGCAGTGACGGCGGTGGTCAACCTGCGGCTCGAATTTGAGGTGTACATACACTGGTGGAGTCTGAAAAGCCCGCATGCATTGGGAAAAAAGAAAACACAGAAAGAAAACTTTTTCCCAGGACTTCAGAAAGCCCCGAAGCTGCTCCAGGGCAGGCCGCCGAACCTGGGGCTGATTGTTGGTTTCATTTTGTCGGTGTATATAGACCTGATAATGTGAGAGCCAACTGAGCTGGTAATTTGTCAATGAAACAAACGAATATTCACAATTGTAAATACGGGTTTCTTGGGCACCCAACTATGCCTATGCAACGAAACCTGTACGCTCAGAGCACTGCCCTCTTCCACTTGATCGACGCCAGGACTTCAACATGGTTTCCAGCCATCGAAAAAAAATCCGGTTGCTTTCTACTCGCCAGTTCATAAATAACTCAATCACTCTTCTTCTAAAGGCTTCGAACCGGCGCAAGGCTGCCGTCTGCTGCCGCCTCTAAACCCTTTGCTGCTCGCGGTTTCGTGTGCAGTTGCAGTGGTCGTTCTGTGCGCAGGACCCTGATGACCGAGAACTCTCATCAGTTGCACCAAAACAGAAAAAGTCTAGATAAAATAATTTAAAATAAATCCCAAAAGCAGCTCTGCCGTTTCCTACAGTCGCCCAGTGTCATGGTCACGTTCGCATGAGGGGCCGCGAGTGGACACACCAAAGACAGATTCCTTTATAGGCCGGGGTGCGGGTTGCCGCAACACTTTTTGCAGAGCAACAACCAATGCATGAGTAGCCAGGCCTAGTTTTGATGCATGCAGTAAGCTATAGGCATCTATGAAAAAGTTACTTGGCACTCTGTAGCTAGCCTACACTGCAGCACGGTAGAGTTGCGATGATTTGTACTTCCGCTTCCATGCATATTGGCTACTGAAGGGCGGAAACGTTTTTTAAAGTCCCCTTCAGAGCTAGCCCAAGCAAAGAGGGGAGTTGTATAACGTTATTCCACTCTCTTATCGGAGGAATGCTGCGAATTGCAATGGGGTCGAGGTACTTGATAAGAATTTCCAACACGCCGTTGGTCTGTGTGGTATCCGCAATCCCCAGCAACTTGGGACAAGCGGGCCGAGGGCATGGGGCTGCGGAAGAGGAGGCGTGCTGACACGAGCTGCAGAGCAAAGTTGTGCAACAACGCAACTCCACATGCATGTAGAGCCAAGTCCTATTGCTGCACGCCCTAACATTGGAGATAATTGTTGAGAATGCATGTGGCCCTGGGCAGCCAGACCTTTTAGGTAGGAATACACAGACGTACTGCATACAAACACCGCTACTTTTCCCCCTGCGTGTTGTAATATGGGTGTCCAGGATCTCAGTTCCGTTCTGCTTCCACTTCACTATGAATGTGATGCTGTCATGTGTAGAAAGTGCGGGCAAATTCCCGTGTTTTTGTAAGCAGATATAGATACCACACGTTAGTGGTGTTGTTGCATCTCCACGTTGGCGGTGTCAACGATGTAGGCCAGCGTGTTGATTCGAAGCAAAAATGAGCAGAACATGGCCCTATCGACTGCACGGGAGTAACTAATAACAAAGTAACTAATAACAAGGCAATTTGAAGAGCATACGGGAACCGTCACAGGCAATTGCAGCTGCAGAACATTGCGCCTGACATGTATGTTCTCAGATGAATTCTTCAGCTACAATCTCGGTGAAAGGTGTGGTGTATGACTAGAGAAGAAGCTGGCACGAAATTTGGCTCAAAAGGGTGTTGCAACATGCCAGGCCAACTCTTCAACTATTCTCTAGGGCCGCAGTGCCGGGTCAAGTGGTGATGGGAGCAGAACAATTCTAGCGAAGAAAACAGGAGAAGAAACTTTCCTTAAGCTTCGTTGATTTTTGTTTTCTGCCGGACTAGATGAGATGTTTGGGTTTCTATGGCGTCAGTGAAGTTACTTGAGGGTGTCAGTCAGCTTAAACCGGCCGGCCCGTTACACTCGACAGTGGGAATTGAAGGATATGAACAACAAAGGACTTTCAGAGGAATAGCCTACTATTCAGTCATGCTCATTGAAATACTACACTGAAGTGTAATGTTCCCTATTAACGTGCACGAAATCCAGCATAACAAGAGGGGGGCTGAGGTCTCAGCCCCCACATCATCAGCTTCATGGCCCGCAGCGCCTCCATTGTTACAATTCCACGCCACCCCATCATGTGAGAAGACACGGATTCCTACAGGAACTCTCAGTTGTGTTTTTGTCTTCATTTCCGTCCTCGTGGGCGGAACAAGACGAAGAGCTGTGGACACTATTTTGATGCACATACTGATGAGGTTGGGGTCCAGTTCCGAGAGCCCTACGATACCTAAATGCCCCAATTATCCTTTGCTGCTCTTTTATATAGGAGTTTCTCAGAGGTAGTTTCAACACGTGTTTACACCCCACAAGACTGCGTAAAGCTCCTTCGCACATACTAGATACTCCCGTATCCAGTATGTGCGAAGATGCTTTACGCAGTCTGTTCCCTGTCTGTGAAACGATGTGAGTAGCAGGCGATTATCTAGTGCTTTTTCGAGTCGTTAGATTGCTGAGCCAGCATCGCCTCAATTGCTGCGTCGCCGTCACCAGCTGTGAGAGAAAGAGGCCTGCCGAAATCAAGGAACTCGAGCAATCGGGATGATGTCAGGTGCTTGATGAGGCTTCTGGTGGCAGCATCTTCATGATCTGTTCAAATAAGCTACTTCTCCTTTTTAGGTACATCAATATGAAGTTGCGGTAGTATGACCTCTTCTGGACGACCCTTCGAGCGCATAGGAGCACAGGCCATATCTGAACAGCCTCAATTTTCGCCTGATGTGGCTCGACCCTTGTTGCAAAGAAACGACACCCCCAAGAAACTAATTGGGAAAAACGAAAACTTTAGGGCTATCGCAAACCATTGCAGAGTACGCTGCAACTGTTGGAAGCAGTTGTAGAGCGCGCCGCAAGTGCTGGATGTGCCCCTGCACATTCCTTCCGTACACAAGCACAGCGGCCAAGCGACTCGGGATTAATCTGTCGCTGCAGTTCGGCAGGTTCACTGACAAACCCAAAGAGCATGCACGCATAGTTTGCGAGTGTCGGAATGAAATGTAGCCACTTCCTTCTTGTTAGGATTTATTGGGAGCTGCAAAAACACGTCGGCGAAGTCAAACGACGAATATATTGCAGAGTTCTGCAAGCCTTCAAGAAATTTGTTGATCAACTGCATCAGAAACAGTTGGTTCAACGTGATTTTGTAGAGTAACTTAAAGTCGACGCACATACGCCACCTACCATCATATCTTCGTTTTGGTTTTGGCGAAAAAAGTTAAGTCGAGGGAACTAAGGAGCACGTCAACTGCTTCCGCTTCACGGTACCGGTCATATGTGGTTTTTCAGACGGAGCAGAGGCATTCTTCATGAATTTTACTTGATAGAAATACTTTTTCCGCCAGGTGGGACGCCGAAGTCGAGCATGTTTCCTCTCGAAATGGCTCCACACCGAGTGTTGCCTCCCCACACGAGGGCAGATCATGGTCAACCAAAGAGGGCTGAGGTATTGGCGAAGATTTTAGGAAACCTTTTACTTTTACTTTTTCCTCGTTTTACCGTTTTTTTTTGATTACTGATACTCACGGGACCGGCCTTTGGGTGTCGGATGGAGTTCACTGCTTGCACGTCCCGTGATAAACCACGTGTGCCGCCAAGTACAACCTGAGTCTTTGGTCATATGCGAGGACAGTGGAGAGCTGCAAAAGAGTCGAAACACTGAATATAAGAGCCGACACAAACAGCTGGCCTCCTCTCCAGTCCCCAGGCAGCCTGGGTCCGGCGGTCCAAGGAAATGGGGGACGGGGGAGAGGCGGCGGCATGACAAGAGTTGCAGCGCATCCTGCTGCAACTCGTTCTAAAACACAACTCCACATGCATTCAGATCCAAGCCCTATTGCTGAATGAACTCACACTAAAGACAATTTTTGAGCACTTCTGTGGCCTCAGCTGCCAGGCACCGCATTAGTAGGAATGCACAGGCCCACTTCACACAAACAACACAACAGGAGACAGAAGAGATACAGAACAGAGGAGACAGAAAAAAGGGGACAGAAGAGAGGGGACAGCAGACAGAAGAGAGGAGAGACCTAAGACGGGAGAGACAGCAAGACAGGAGCCAGGGGAGAAGGGACAGATAACAGACAACCAAAAGATAAAGGACGACAGACAGGACAGAAAGCAGATAGTTCATTGTTTTCCACTTTGTTTTTATTTCGATGTAGACAACAAATACAACAAAACAACCACTGGAGCAGCGGCTGCAGCAGCAGGGGGCGCCCGTTTGCCCCCGTTTGCTGTTGTCCTGGGAGAAAGCCAAGACAATGAAAGTATTTAACTATATTTAATTGAAACTTATTTATTTACTTTTAATTCATTAAAATAAAAGGAAAACAAATATTAGCACAAATACAACCGGAATCACAGTGAATGCCTGCGTGTCCCACCACGAACTCGAGACGGCAACACTGGCGGCAGCAGCAGCAGCAGCAGCAGCAGCAGGTGTTGCTGCTGCTGGGGCAGTTGCTGCTGCTCGCTTATGGTATAATTATATATATATTATATAAGTTTGTTAAATTTTAATTTTTCTGTTGTTCTACAACTACACATAACTGTCTTTTTACTTGCTGGCAGCCGCAGCTGCAGCAGCAGCAGCAGCAGCAGCAGCGGCAGCAGCAGGACCAGTGGCTTGGCGCCTGTCGTCGGGGACTTTGGCAACATTGGGGCTTTGTTTTGTTCCGTTTCTTCTTCTCTTCTCTGTGTATTCTTTCAACTACCGAAAACCAAACTAAAATACAACGGCAGCAAACCATTTTTCCCTACGGGGCAGCAGCAGCAGCCCGTAACCTGCAGCAGCAGCAGCAGCAGTACCTGCTGCTGCCCGTTACTTCGTCTTGAATTCTGTTCATTGATTTGTTTTATTTCGTTTGGTTTTTCTTTTCTTCTCTCCTTCTCCCCTATACTGACAGTGGCGATGCGGGGAGAGTCGCCTACGGGGGAATCAGGGAAACTAGAAAGCAGCAAACCGAAATAAACAATAAATAAAAAGGGAAAAAAAGCAAGGAGAGTAGAGAATTGAATAAAACGAAATAAAAAGGAAGTAAAACAAATACAAAAAAGAAGACAGAACAAATGGATATATCGAGATGGCGGGACGAACACCATCAAACGCGAGTCCCTTCTCCCCTGAGCTGCAAACTTTCGTCGTCACCAAATACGACCCCCTGCTGGCAATCGTACGAGAGTTAAATGCACGACTGCAAGCATCTGAAAAAGGTAGGTTCGTCGGTCTGCTGCTGCCGCTGCAGTTGCTGCTGCTGCTGCAGTTGCTGCTGCTGCTGCAGTTGCTGCTGCTGCTGCTGCGGGCGTTGCTGATAGAGGAATTAGGCCTCAGCGCATGCAAGCATTACGGCTATATTTGCTGCTGTTTGCTCCCTGTCTTTATTCTTTTTGTTTGTTTTGCTGCTGTTCTGCTTGTTCTTCCTCTGTCTTCCTTCTTCTTTGAGTCGAACCAGAAATTGATTCCTTTGTTTATTCGTTGCCATTTTTCGGGTTTAGAGAAAGGGAAAATCCTCCTCACTTTGCCTTTTGTTTCTGCTGTTGTTGTTGCTGTTGCTGCTGCTGATGGTTCTGGTGGTGCTGCTGCTGTTGCTGCTGCATCGCTTGCTCAGAAAGAGTGCGGCTTGAGCGGAGAGTGCAGCGGCTGGAGCACCAGGTGGTGGCTCTGACGGATGCATGCGAAAAAGGAACGAAACTCAAGTCGGTGCCAGACCTCGAACCCGAGGCGCACACCGGTAGACATGGTGAGGCAAATATGAATAATAAGATGTGTTTAATGCTTGTATTATCTTCTCCTTGTCATTCTTTCACCTTTGTCCTGTGTTCGTCGTGCCTTTTTGTCTATTCTTTCCTCTCTCTTGTTTCTCTTCTCCTGTGATGCATGAAATATCTAATAAATGTAGTTTCTGCCTTCAAACAATCCTTCGTTCTCTTACAAAACGCGGTGTATGTGTTTGTGTTTCTGCTGTTCAGCCGTGCAGGAGCTGCTCGAGAACGAGGAAGCGCTCGCCTCTCCTTGGCTCTTTTCATGTCAGGTGTGTCTCGTTGAATTGGAAATGCAAAAAGGAATTAATTTATATGTTTATATCTTGAAATATTCTTAAATTAACCGCAGATCAGCCAGCTTTCCCCCCCCCCCCCNCCCCCCCCCCCCCCGTTGCTGCGGTGTATGCGCAGATCGGCACACCCACCTCGGCTTTGCAAGTTCTGCTCGAATTCTCGCCAGACTCCACAATTGAGATCGATTGCAAATTGTGGAAACGAGAGGTATAAATATAAAAACCTATATATAAATATAAATAAATATATATTTATATTTATATTTTAAATATATATAAAATAAATGCATAATTACTAATGTGTACACATATGAAGTTAATGATGTACATGCAAATGGAAATAATGTATACAATAATAATATTCTGTATATACTGACAACTAAAGTGTAAATAGTGTATATATGTATAAGAGTATAGATCACCATATCTCAACATCTCCTTAGGCCGCTGTCTGCTGCGCG